GAGGTGGAGTGTTCAATTCTGCTAAGTTTGAGAGTAGGAGCTTAGGATCCATCCCCCTAGAGGCCGAACTCTGTTGGTTCAGCCCATTCTGGCTCAGAGCTTGGTAGTAAGACATTTTGCTCCATTCTTCTTGGTCATAGCTTTTAGTAGCTAGCCAGAAAGTGTCTGGTCTGGCTTAGCAGTCTGGAACAGGCAATCCTTAGCACGTATTTGCCTCATAGATTAGAATGTATTTGCCTTAGAGTCTAGAGATTATAGTTTATGTTATAAAGAATGCATCTGTATTTGCCATAGTTAATAGCTGTATTTTAGGCTTGGGTAACTACGGAAAAAATTGGTTCTAAACTCATTTCATTTTTAGGGGCCCTTGCGTTTCGTTTTTTTAAAGAATTCCGAAATTTTCCTTTAAAAAAGTTCAAAATATACGAAATTTCGTAAAATTACGAATCGATTCGTTAATGGCGGACGCGATTGCGCAATATGCTAAAAAACCCTCCAAATGAGACAGGGGGAACTTCTGAAGCTTCCCTTCCCTCTGTTGTTGACTGTTGGTGTGATAATTTATTTTTTATCACTGATAAAACAAACAACAACTATAAAACTTGCACCAGACATACGGAAATAATTGCGAAACAATTACGAAACAATTACGAAACAATACGAAATACATTGGAAAAATTGTTTCAATTTTTAATTACTCCTCACAGTAGTCCTGCATGTCCTGCATGGCTCAATATTGGATCGTAAGCTAATTTAAATACGAATTAATTACGAATTACGAAATTAACAAACGAAACCGCCCAAGCCTACTGTATTTGCCTCATGTATTTGCCTTATAGAACATGTACATGCCATAGTCTATAGCTTTACATGCCTTATAGAACATAGATAGTACATGCCCCAGAGTTTATAGAGTACTTACCTCATAGAAAATATAGTTGTTACCTCAGAACACATACCACCATTATACTTCATAGTCTCCTGTTGTCTATACCATCAAGAATCAAACTGCACATTTATACCTTGTTTTGATTCACCTTGATTGTTCAGTAAACTTCATTGATTAATTTTAGTCTCGTCTCTAGAGTTTTATTTTGGAGATATTAAAGTATATTTAGGGCATACCGATGGTCTCTGGGAAAATAGCTGGACACATAGTTTTCTCTTCATCTTCTCGGTGTGCCATCATACTACTACTACTAATATGATATTATAATTATATATTTTATATTAAATGTAATATTACTAATAATATTACAGTATAATGTTATAGTACAATGTAATATATAATATTAATATTGTGCTATGGTAATAATATAATATATTGTATTTACTTTTTACTTGTAAGCCGCTCTGAGTCCCCTTCGGGGTGAGAAGGGTGGCATATAAATGTTGGAAATAAATAAATAAATAAATAAATAAAAGGTATCTGGATACCACCCATTTACACAAATCAATTAGCAAAAATGTGCAGTGCTTACAGTGTTCTCTGCAGAAAATGCTTCACCTGTACTCCAAAAAAAGGAAAATCAACCTGTTTAGCAAGCCTTAAAAATGCTGATTTATTTTCAGTAAATGTTTGATTTTTATACCTATTTTATACCAATATACCTGGGATTACGTAAAGCTTTCTCAAGTGAAAAGAGGTTATGAGTGGGAAAAGTTTAAGAAGCCCTCCTTTATGCAACTGGATTTTCTGTATGAAAACAGATTTTAATGAAGGCAAACAAAAACTTCCACGTTTCTTCAGATTTGATAGATATGAATAAATGGTCTTCTGAATCACTGTTGGGAATGAGAGCAACGAATATTCAGCTAAAACTACCACCTCCACACAACTCAAAGTAGCTTACAACTATAGATAGACATTCATCTGACTTATTTTATTCCTACAAGGAGTTATATTTGACCTGCAAGTTGCTTCTACACTGATGGGAACAATCAGTTTCTTGCTGTTACAGGAAATATGAAACATATATAAACACCTGGCTCTCTTGCAGAATCACCTTGACATGGTATGTGCTTTTGCTCAAGCTTTGCCACTACTGATTATCTTGTCTAGACCCGTGTTCTCATAATTTGTGCTAATTTCTAATTGTTCCCCTATTAAGTTCTCTCTCCCTCCACAATCTATAGGCCTGGGTCCAGTATCATTAAGAGATAAGTGATGAGTTTTCATCACTGGGCTCTATATGCCAGGAAAAGCTTCACCTGCTAAATTTCTCCAAGTGGCAAAGCTGTGCATTCTGCATTCTGGTAGGAATTGCCACATGCTAAAAATTATCATTTCATTTTTTCAAAGGAAGTTTCTAGTCACTGTGGTAGATGAGCTTAATATCATCTGTGCACATCTGGTGACATGTCAGAAGCTGGTAGCCAAGGCTGGGCAGAATTTCTAAATATGTGAACATCAGTGGTAGAAGTGTAATAAAATAAAATATTCTAGTCTGTACAGATCGCTTCCTTTGCAACACTGAGCACAATGGTATCCACTAGAATCATAGAATCAAAGAGTTGGAAGAGACCTCATGGGCCATCCAGTCGAACCCCCTGCCAAGGAGGAATATTGCATTCAAATCACCCCTGGCAGATGGCCATCCAGCCTCTGTTTAAAAGCTTCCAAAGAAGGAGCCTCCACCACATTCCGGGGCAGAGAGTTCCACTGCTGAACGGCTCTCACAGTCAGGAAGTTCTTCCTCATGTTCAGGTGGAATCTCCTCTCTTGTAGTTTGAAGCCATTGTTCCGCGTCCTAGTCTCCAAGGAAGCAGAAAACAAGCTTTCTCCCTCCTCTCTGTGGCTTCCTCTCACATATTTATACATAGCTATCATATCTCCTCTCAGCCTTCTCTTCTTCAGGCTAAACATGCCCAGCTCCTTAAGCCGCTCCTCATAGGGCTTGTTCTCCAGACCCTTTATCATTTTAGTCGCACTCCTCTGGGCACATTCCAGCTTGTCAATATCTCTCTTGAATTGTGGTGCCCAGAATTGGACACAATATTCCAGGTGTGATCTAACCAAAGCAGAATAGAGGGGTAGCATTACTTCCCTGAACCTAGACACTATGCTATTGATGCAGGCCAAAATCCCATTGGCTTTTTTTGCCACCACATCACATTGTTGGCTCATGTTTAACTTGTTGTCCACGAGGACTCCAAGATCTTTTTCACATGCAGTGCTCTCAAGCCAGGCATCATCATCCCCCATTCTGTATCTTTGCATTTTGTTTTTCCTGCCTAAGTGGAGTATCTTGCATTTGTCCCTGTTGAACTTCATTTTGTTAGTTTTGGCCCATCTCTCTAATCTGTCAAGATCGTTTTGAGTCCTGCTCCTGTCCTCTGGCTTATTGGCTATCCCTCCCAATTTGGTGTCGTCTGCAAACTTGATGATCATGCTTTCTAGCCCTTCGTCTAAGTCATTAATAAAGATGTTGAACAGGACTGGGCCCAGGACGGAACCCTGCGGCACTCCGCTCGTCACTTCTTTCCAGGATGAAGAGGAAGCACTAGAGTTTGGTACTAGGACCTCAAATCTGTGAATACTCAAGGCCCATTATATACAATCTTAATATATAAAAAGCTTCTGTGTGCCATGAGTAGGCTAAAAACAAACAAACTATGGGGCCAACTGACATCAAATTTGGCCTCCAAATGTCTCATACCACAAGGTATGACCAACAATTAAAAAAAACCCCAAAACCGTGAAAATAGCCTTAAAATTCTTAAAAAATATCTTACCACACATGTGCAAAACCAATCTCCGCCCCCTCCTGTGAGAGAGGGGGAAACAAACAGCCATCTGTAGCAAAGGAGCTGGCCGTCCCATGCTGTTCTGGCTGTTAGGAATTGCAGGAACTGAAGTCCAAAATGACTGGAGGACATGTTGGCAGGGGAGACTCTGGGAGTTGTTTCCCCAAGAAAGCATTTTTAAAGCTCTACTCTAGCATTTCTCCTACATAATTACCCTCTGTATGGTTCTTGCATAAACTGGATGGATTTTCTTGTCACAAGAGAATGTCTTGGACATGCTGACCAGAAAGAGAATGGAAAGAATTTGGTTTGGGTTGTTGTAGGTTTTTTCAGGCTATATGGCCATGTTCTAGAGGCATTCTCTCCTGACGTTTCACCTGCATCTATGGCAGGCATCCTCACTACCTCTGAGGATACTTGCCATAGATGCAGGCGAAACGTCAGGAGAGAATGCCTCTAGAACATGGCCATATAGCCCGAAAAAAACGACAATAACCAAGTGATTCCGGCCATGAAAGCCTTCGACAATACAGAATTTGGTTCAGTTGACCTTGCCTGACTCTATAACTGTTACCCAAAAGTTTAATGTGCAGCATCCTCTACATTCTCTCTGTGTTGCTTCATACAACCAAAAGGTATCATAGAATCATAGAATTAAAGAGTTGGAAGAGGCCTCAAGGGCCATCCAGTCCAACCCCCTGCCAAGAAGCAGGAATATTGCATTCAAATCACCCCTGACAGATGGCCATCCAGCCTCTGTTTAAAAGCTTCCAAAGAAGGAGCCTCCACCACACTCCGGGGCAGAGAGTTCCACTGCTGAACGGCTCTCACAGTCAGGAAGTTCTTCCTCATGTTCAGATGGAATCTCCTCTCTTGTAGTTTGAAGCCATTGTTCCATTGCGTCCTAGTCTCCAAGGAAGCAGAAAACAAGCTTGCTCCCTCCTCCCTGTGGCTTCCTCTCACATATTTTATACATGGCTATCATATCTCCTCTCAGCCTTCTCTTCTTCAGGCTAAACATGCCCAGCTCCTTAAGCCACTCCTCATAGGGCAGGATGACATTTATGTACATTCCTATATCAGATCAGCACAAACCTGTCTCTTTCTTCCTTTCGAATGCAGCTTTCAAAATGTTTCGCATTGGTAACACAATATTTTTAGACATGCATCATTTTGCGACATGGTAATTCAGTTTTACTAGCAAACCAGAAGTTAAATCAAACGGTTAGAAAACACATGGACACATACATAAATTGCAATAATGAAATTCATGGGGACATAACATATCTCATAAAAATATTTCATTTATATATTTAAAATATACATGATTTATTGCAGATTTCACAAAAACTCAGACCCATTCTACAACACTGTATAAAATCCAGATTATCTGCTTTGAACTGGATTAACAGGATTTCTTGTTACGTTTGAGGAACACACCTACACATTGCAACTGACACAGTAACAAGCTGTTGCACAGAATTTGGAAAGCTGTGCACTAGAACATATGCTAGAAATGCAGCTAAACAGACCATTGATCATATCAGTAATGTTCTCTACACATAAATGTTATGCAAATAGTAAAATGTCACACATGAAAGAAGTGAAACCCAACACATGTGAAACCAAAATATTTTTAGTGTTCAACTGAGGGCCCTTCCACATAGCCATGTAACTCAGAATATCAAGGCGGAAAATCTCACAAAATCTGCTTTGAACTGGGCTATCTGAGTCCACACTGCTATATATTCTAGTTCAGAACAGAAAATGTGATATTTTATTCAGCTGTGTGGAAGGGGTTTAAGCCTGCAAAGGAATTATTTTAACAACAGGGAAAACTGGGTTCAGCTTACACAATTTTAAGTATTTTCATAAAAATTGAAATATTAGGTACAGTTCAGAAATGTTCAAAAATCTCCTAAACTTTCTAGACACCTCAGCTTATTCTTATCACTTTCAAGACAGATCTACTCATGAAACAACTACTCAAGTTTTCAGTTGGGTTTTACACTATGATAAACATATACAGCATCACAAACTTGCTGTACAAGCATGAAACTGACTTATAATTATGGTTTCGACACAATGATTGGCATAAAACTAAGACACCCAATAAGAAACCTGTCCTACTTCATAATGCTTTTGTTGGTCCAAAACAGCACTGTGTGTATTATCAATCCAAATCACTGTCTATCTAGTCATCTTAGCTGAATAAAACTCAAGAGTTCCACAATATTAAAAACATATTCTATCACCCTGCGATGCATTAATTTTTAAAAGTAAACATTTCCAAGAGGCTAAAATTGCATAAGAAGAATGTTAATAGGATTTAAAGATGACACTTAATTATAGAGTCACAGAGACATCTTTAGATATATATATATATATTGGACTGTCCTTTAAATCCCACTAAGATTAATGGAGCTATTGGTAAGTAGGTTTTGAGAGACTGAGGCCCCTTCTACACTGTAATATAATCCAGATTATCACAGCAGACAATCCACATTATCTGCTTTGAACTGGATTATATGAGTCTATACTGCCATATAACCCAGTTCAAAGTCTTCGATAGAATATATTTCTAGCTTTGCTCTGACTGCAGCAGCGGTGGTCTTGATGTCAACACCAAGTATCTGTCTTAGAAATTTTGATTGTGCTTGTTCCAGTATTGGTAGTTTGCTTAGGCCCCAGATTTCAGCTCCATATAGTATCATGGGGACAATTGTTGCTTTGTAAACTTCGATAAAGATCAGGATATTTATGGGATAACAATCTTGCCAGTGTGTTAGAGAGTGCCCTAGTTTTGATCGCACAAGATTGAAAGTGTGCAAGCCATGAGCCTGTCTCTGACTATACCAAGCCTAGATATGTAAAAGAGCTAACCTGTTCTATTCGCTCTGTATCTAGAACCCATTCGTGTCTAGAAGGGCAATTTCGGAACACCATTAGTTTTGACTTGGATTTGTTTATTGTCAGCTTGTTTTTCTGGGCGTAGATGTTAAGTTTGCTCAATAATCTTCATAATTCTATTTGTGTATTCGACATCAAAATCATGTCATCTGCGTATAAAAGAGCATTTACATGTCTGTAACCAATTTTTGGCATGTGAACATCCGAGCTGCTGAGGGAATCTGGCAGGTCATTCATATAAATGTTGAGAAGTAAAGGGGCCAATAAGCAGCCTTGTCTTACACCTTTGCAGGAATCTATTCTCTTTGTCAGGGCTCCACTGATTCCCGTTCTAACCTGAATATGGTTGTTGGAGTACAGACATTTGATCAGGAGTAGTAATCTGTGGTCTATTCCATGGGCTGTAAATTTTTGCCAGAGGATTTTTCTATTGATGCTGTCAAAAGCTGCTTTTAAATCAATGAAAGCAACATATAACCTGCTCTTTCTTTTGAGAAGTTTGTTAATTAGGTGATTTAATACAAAACAGTTGTCCATGGTGGATCTTCCTGATCTGAAGCTGGCTTGTTCTTCTGTTAAGATTTTGTTTTCATATTCCCATAGTTTTAATTTGGAGAGAAGTACTTTTGAATAAATTTTGGCCACTATATCAATGAGACTAATAGGTCTGTAATTTGTTTGGATCTTTTGTGCATCTTTTTTTGTAAACAGGGATGATTCTTGGGTTCAAAGCAGATAATCAGAATTGCGGGATTGTGGCGCAGCTGGCTCAGTGTCAGCTGCATTAAGATCACTCTGACCAAAAGGTCATGAGTTCGAAGCCAGCCCAGGTTGGAGTGGGTTTCCAACCAATTGTGTGTAGCCTGTTGTCGACCTTTGCAATCCGAAAGACAGTTGTATCTGTCAAGTAGGAAAATTAGGTACCACCTTAAAGTGTGGGGAGGCTAAATTAACTGATTTATGAGGCCATAAAGAAGTCTTCAGCAAAGCATTCCAGCGGGGAAGCATGTGGGGAATGTGGAAGTGCTTCATCAGCGTCGCAGATGGACGATGAAAGCGACGGCTCCCCTGGCGGCCAGAAAAACGTTAAATAGCCTCTGTGTATGTCTGTATATGTCTGTATGTCAAAATTGGCATTGAATGTTTGCCATACATGTGTACACTGTAATCCGCCCTGAGTCCCCTGCGGGGTGAGAAGGGCGGAGTATAAAAGCTGTAAATAAATAAATAAAATAAATTATACGGTAGTGTAGAAGGGGGCCTGAGTCTATACTATCATATAATCCAGTTCAGAGCAGATAATGTGGGTTTTAGATGGCAGTATAGAAGGAGCCCTCATACGGTTTCCACAGCTGAGTGGGGATTTCAATTCTGATCTCCAGTCCTAATCCAGTGCTGAAACCACTGCATGATACTAGTTAAACCTATATCAATATGCTGGTATTCATCGTAAATATATGTGCATCAATATCGTAATTATATGTGCAACTAGTTAAACCTATATCAATATGCTGGTATTCATTGTAATGATATGGGCAACAACGGAAACATCTCCAGCAACATTTCTTATTACATCACAACTGACTTTAACGCTGGCAGAATATAGTGCTTTGGTCCCTTGATTCATAGATTTACTCCAAGAAAAATATCAGAATACACTGTTTTTTCTTCTAGTATCCTTAGTGGTTCATTTTGCAATAAACTCAGTGACAAGATCTGTGCATAGGCACCACCACTGTACACCTGGGCACACTACTGAAAGTCCAGAAAAAGGAGAATGATTCCATACTGCAATTTGGCCCCTGGGTTTTGTGAACTCTGTATTTTGCATGGCTTGTGATTTTGGCCCTTGCAATTTGTAATGTTGACGTTCTTCCTCACGACCAGAAGGCAAGTGTTCAGAGCATTTCCTAAACCAGAAAATGGCTCCCTTTGGCACATGTCTGTTTTGCTGAAAATGTCCTGGTGCCAATGAGGCTCCGTGGCATAAGGCCCCCTTCTTCTATATGAGATGAACAACAAGGACAGAGAAGCCTGCCCCCAAGGCCAACCCCAGCTGCATGAATACCATCATCAACACCCCTGCTGGCTCTGACAATTCTTTCGGGGTGACTTTGGGGCCGTAGATCATTGACAGCGTAATCAGGTAGCCATTACTGAATCCAAGGAGTGTGGTGAAGACCACTGGGTAGATATCATGGGCAAAGATTACCCTTGCGCTATGCATCCGTGGCTGATAGTTGCAAAGCATGAAGACTGGGATGAAAATAGTCCTCAGCAGAGCCATAGTAGGCAACAACCAGCTTTTGGGTCCAGGGACTTGGATCCAGGCAGTGATTTGGCGTCCGCACAAGTCAGCAAAGTTGTACAGTAGGAAGCTAGTAAGTGGGGTGAAGTACTTGTCTGTCCACACGCCTCCAGAGACCTTGTTGACCGATTCTATGCTGGATGAGACTGCAGGGAAAATCATGATAGAGATGAAATAGATGTAGAAGACACAGAAGCCCAAGGTACTGATGTTCTTCAGGATGGACCACAAGGGAGAGACACTTCCAGTATAGTCTCTATTCAGTGGGAAGTGACTGGTATTGCTTGTTATCACAACTCCTTCCTCCACATAATCCGTAGGCAAGATGTGCGGTGACTGTGTGATGTCCTTCTGTCTTTCTATATAATATCTGCAAGAAGAATCATAGATTGGATGAGACCACGTGAGCTCCTACCATGCAGGAAAAGCACAATCAAAGTAGCACCGACAGATGGCCACCCAGGCTTAGATGAGGGTGGAAGAAAGACACTATCACTTCAACAGACAAACATTAAGACAGCCAAAATAGAAAAAGGACACATACTGTGATACCTTGACTAAAGGGTTTGATTTGTTCCATAACCAAGCTCTTAACTCAAAATGTTTTTATCTCAAAGCAGATTTCTCCATTGAAATGCAATGAATGTTATTAATCTCTTCCGACCCCCTAACCTCCCCCACACACATTTTTGTTAAGTGTTTTTAAATAAGAAAATGTACTTTATAAATAAATAATAATGTATAAATGCACATTCACATGGAACAATAAAAAAGAAAGATCAACTTTAAAATGGTAGAAGCACACAGTTGTGCTAAGGATGCAAAAGGCACAAAGTGAAGAGGCACATCATTTTCTTCATACTGAACATATTCCAGCCTCCCTTCCTTTCTTGCTCTCAATCTCTCTCTCTCTCTTTTCATGGAGCCAAACATACCATGAATAAAAACCATACAAAATCAACTAACTCAAAGTTCCTCAAAGCGGACAAAAGCAAAGCGGACAGCAATCTCTCAAAGCGGACAAAAGCACTGGGCATGGAGGCATGAGGTTCAAGGCCTGGAGGCTACTCCCATGAAGCCCTAAAGCCCTGCACTCTGGGACTAGTGCTCCATATGGCGCTATCTCTTAATTCAAAATGCTACTTGTATGTCAAAGCGAAACAAGGGCTGAGCAACAGCTTTTAACTCAACTGGCTCATAAATTGGGATGCTCTTAAGTTGAGGTTCCACCGTAGTTATCATTATTACTAACATCAGGTTCCAAAAAGACTCTTCATTAAAGCCAGCAAGTACACTTGGCCATTCACATCTGTGGGTTTAACTTTTGCAGATTAGATTATTAGTGGATTAGATTAATAGGTTCTCAATGGTCAGTATAACTCTATGGTCAATATCTGCCAGAAGATGATTTCAGAGTCATGCTGGAGAATCTACAAACGCTTTGAAAGAACACTTTTTTAGATCAGCGGTTTTTAACCTTTGATTCTCCAGGTGTTTTGGACTTCTACTCTCAGTGGTTGAGAACCACTGTGCTAGATACCCATGTATCCTCCAGCATGGCTCTATGGCAGGTCCGCACAGTTTGTGGTCCTTCAGGTATTTGGGACTCCAACTTCCAAAAAGCCCTAGCTGGATTGTTCGATGGTCAGGAATTCTGGGAGCTGAAGTCCGAAATACCTGGAGGGCCGCAGGTTATGCAGGACTACTCTATGTTCAACTTCCACTTGGAGCTTAGAACTACTTAGAACAGTGGTCCTCAAACTAAGGCGCGGGGGGCCGGATACGTATCCTGTCCTCAACTTGGCACGTTCCAGAACAGTTGGGCGACATCTCCCATCATCCCCAGTTACATGACCATTTGGCCATGTGACTTGGGGATTTAAGGGGGCATTTGCCCAAGACGTTTGGAAGGCATCAAGTTGGAGAGAGCCGATACGGCCCTTCAAGGTTCCAGTGTGCCTTCAGCGGATGAATGAACAATAACGCCATGACCTACCTCTGTAAAATGGCCCTCGGTAGCACTTTATTTTACCTGCTAGTGCAATCACAACCTACTCTACCTCTCAGATTTTCTGTCCAGACACATTACATTGCTTTCTCACCAGTGTTTTAAAATTTTAATCTATTTAAATTGGCCCACCCAATGTGATCACTTTCTGATATGTGTAATGTGGATTTGTATTTCATTTCATTTCATTTTGCTGTGTTCTGTTGTATATTGTTTTTGTATTGCTGGGCTTGACCTCATGTAAGCCCCCTTGGGGAGATGGTGGCAGGGTATAAATAAAGATGATGATGATGATGATTATTATTATTATTATTAATATATTATTTACCTGGCCCTCGCTCAGGGTCAACCTAAGTCTGAAATGACTTGAAAGCACACAACAACAACAACAACAACAACAACAACGCTATCTCATCAGCCAAAAGCAGGCCCACACTTCCTATTGAAATACTAATAAGTTTATATTTGTTAAAATTGTTCTTCATTTTAATTATTGTATCTTTAAGTGTTTTTGCACTATAAATGAGATATGTGCAGTGTGCATAGGAATTCATTCATTTTTTTTTCAAATTATAATCCGGCCCTCCAACAGTTTGAGGGACTGTGACCTGGCCCTCTGTTTAAAAAGTTTGTGAACCCCTGACTTTGAGGATATGCTCTTGGGTTAGAATAGTAGCATTTTCTTATTTGAAGTTTTCACTTTCACAGGGGTTGTGCACCACAATCTGCATGAAAGTGGAGAGGTTTAGACCATAATGTCAACCATATATCCTGTCTGTTTTTGCATTTGACAGGCTCTCTAGGTTAAAGAGTTTACTTTCCCCTGTGTCCCGTCCTAGCTAGCTTGGTCATGTAGGCTGGGCAATTCTTGGAGATCTACTCCAGAAAAGGAAACATCTCCAAGCTCTGCTAAATTGCATAGTTAATCCAAAGTCAGAAATCTTGGTTTAGAAATAGCAAAACAGAGAAGCAATGAATGCAGAGCATAAAAAGAGAGAAGCTGCAGGAAAAGGCAGGCTCGTGGCATCCTGAGAGAGATGCTTTTGAACGAAGCCATAAGGCACACGCTGAGTCCTGACCTGCTGGCCTGACAAGATTTACCTGGCATACTCCAGTTTAGGAAGGATCAAGTACATCCCAATGCACAGAATAATGAAGACGTCTGCTGTCAGGAAGTAGGCCAAAGCACTGTCTGTAACTTCAGAGGCTGCTGCCAGGTCCACCACCGATGCGACAGCACTCAATGTGCCTCCCATGGCCTGACCTATATGACAAGGATGGTAAAAAAGGGAGGGTGGGGAGGAAAGAGGACCAAAGTCAGGGAATGGTGAAATAAGCATCAGCCTCTGCTGGCTTAGTCTGAGGAAGGCAATTTGGGCTGAGAGCTGCTCTGAAGCCAAATAAGAGAAGCTGAAATTGAGGTGCAAGAGAGTGAAGCAGCCAACAGATGCTATATCTACACTAGAGAATCAACTGAGTTTGACATCACTTGAATTGCTAAGACTCAATGCTAAGGAATCCTAGTAGCAGTTTGGTGAGCCACCAGGGCTAAAGACTATGTCAAGCTACTACTCCCAGGATTCCATAGCACTGCACCACCGCAGTTAAAGTGCTGTTAAACTGCATTAATTCTACAGTGTAGATCCACCCAGAGCCTGGCGTTCCAATGCATTTCTAATGCTGAACTACATAGCCCTCTAGCATTGCTTTGGAATGTTGACAGTAGGCTTGGTTGATCCAAAAAAAGTGGTTCAAAACCCGTTTTGGATGTAGGGGGCGCTGGTGGTTCAATTCTAAAGTCAATTCCGATTTTCACAGAATTTTTTTTCAAAACTTTTCGAAACTTCCAAGACTTCCGAATCCTTTCGTTCATGGGTTGAAAGTGTTATTTCTTGTTTCATTGGGTGGTCTTTACTTTGAAAGTAGTTGTTTTACTCCAGAAGTGGGGAAAAAGGGGGGAGGAAATTTCTTCCTTCTCTTGTTTAAAACTGGCTTGAGCTGAGACCAGGAAATTCCTTCCTCCTCTGGTTTAAAACTGGCTTCTCTGTCTTGAGCTGAGGCAAGGGACCAGAAGTGGGGAAAAGCAAACGGAGGAAATTCCTTCCTTCTTTGGTTTAAAACTGGCTTCTCTGACTTTCATACTGGCTTCTCTGACTTGAGCCGAGGCCAGGAAATTCCTTCCTTCTCTGGTTTAAAACTGGCTTCTCTCGCTTAAGCCGAGGCCAGAGACCAGAAGTGGGGAAAAGCAAGCAGAGGAAATCCCATCCTTCTCTGGTTTAAAACTGGCTTCTCTGGCTTGAGCTGGGGCTAGGTAATTCCTTCCTTCTCTGGTTTAAAACTGGCTTCTCTGACTTGATCTGAGGCCAGGGACCAGAAGCGGGGAAAAGCTGAATAATTTCCGACTCACTTCCTAAGTCATAACAAAAATTGCGGAAAAAGCTTCAGAAGGGCAAAGGGACTTCTGGTTTTTTAAAAAAGCTTTGATATCGCTTTGAAAGAGTAATTTTAACGAAATTATTATGAGCAACGAGTTGTCTGAGCGACTCTATCCATGTCTAGTTGACAATATATCTGCCTTTGGTTTTGTCCCAGAATTTGGTCAAAAGTCCTTTTGGGGTCTATCTCTACCAGTGCAGTCCAGAAAAAAAATCAATTTCTTGAACTTTTCCCCAAGCACCTTCCCACTGCTGCAAACTGGACATACCTTTTCATCCTGTCGACCTCTAAATTCACTTGCGAAATTGTGGTTAAGTAACTGTGGTCGCCCCCCTCTGGGGAAGTTTGATTTGCTTATGAACAAACACAAAGAATTCCTACATTTGAGGGGTCAATAGCAATATATATTTAAAGCTAAGATGAACAAAAAGCATGTTTAGGGGGAAGAGGTTAATCAAATCTGGAACATGGCCATACTGCCCAAAAAACTTACAGCAACCCACAAACCTGTACATGTCTTTGGAAGCTTCCTTGGGTTACCATTCTGGGAGAAAGGTAGCATATTAATTAAATATAAATAAATTTAGTGTTGGCACGACTGACTTATCACTATCAAAGAACCCTACCCTCCAGATGGGCAAGTTGCTTTTGAATTATTATTTTTTTCTTTTGAGAATTTCAAAAATAGTTTTTGAGGCAGTTTGAAGGGAATTATTCTTCAGAAAGACAATGCACATTTTCTTATTGCATGAAAAAAATAGGCTTTCATTGGTTAAAATCTTGACAACTCTAAGCCTTTGGCAAACAGGGAAACAACAGCAATAGGCTCTGATTTATCGTGGTTAAATAACTACCACAACTAAGTCTTGGAAAGGTTGCTTCTTTGAACCATAAATTCCAGAATCCAACTGCCAGCATGGAAACTTGCAAATATACCCTCCTATTGATGGTTTAAACTTAATTGTTATAGCTCACAATACACAAACTAGGTCATTTTTAAAATACTAATTCTGGAAAGTAGTTTTTCAAACATCTTGTGAGCAATGCTTTCTTCCCTCCCATCTTTATTTCCTGACACTTCATTTTTCTACATAGTGCAGGGTTCTTTCACATATGGTGTGTTTTTCTCCCACTTCTGCATTGAAAAAAGTAACTAACATTATAAATGATCTCATGGTTTGTAAATGTGAGGAGGTTTCTATAATAAGGACTGTGGTGAGGACTTCCACGATGGCTCAACCCCTAATAATATCCTTTGCCATGGCCCAGAACATTAAAAACCTGAAATCTTTGCATAGTTTTGCCTCTCGCTTGCTCCACCCTGCCTTCCTTCTAGCTTCAAATATATTTCTAGTGTTAATATCACCTAACAAACCTCGAGGGGCCTCATCATTCATAGCTGCAAACATGGAACTCATCAGTTATGGAAATGAATGCTAATGCAGAATATAAAATGAGACAATGCAAAGTTTTGTATTTTTCCTGAGACACAAACAAACATGGAGCTGAATGCAGATGTTTTCTTTTTATCAAAAAAATGAAGTTTAGTTCCTCAACAGAGATGTCACAAGACAAGACTTTTTAAGAGAAGAATACTGAACTAAGAGAATGGGTGAATCCAGAATAAAATGACAAGTCAGCTCACTTTGTCTACTGGGTTTCTCCTCAAGCTTCCTTCTTCAAACATCCCACGGTTTTTAAAATTTTAAACGCCAGCTTGCATTTGTCTTTATTAAGAGGGAACTCAATGGTCATGTGAGTATGAGCGGTCAAAACCTTAGGCCCAAAGACAACCCACGCACCATGCTCACAAACATAACTACAGCACTCAGCAGTGTTATTTACTAAACTAGCTGTACCTGCCACGCGTTGCTGTAGCCAACCTTCCCTCCCTTTTTCTCTCTTTCCTTCCCTCTTTCCTTCCTTTCCTCTTTTTCTTTCCCTATTTCTCTTCTTCCATCTCTACCTGTTTCTTTCCCCACTTTCTTTGCTCTTTGTACATCCTTCCTTCTCTCCTTCCTTCCTTCCTTCCTTCCTTCCTTCCTTCCTTCCTTCCTTCCTTCCTTCCATCTCTACCTGTTTCTTTCCTCCCTTTCTTTGTTCTTTAGTTACATCCTTCCTTCCCTGTATTTTTCCTTTCACTTTTTTATTTACTTCTCTCCTTTCTTGCTTCTCTACCTTTCTTTCTTTCCTTCCTTCTTTCCCTCCCTCCTTCTCTCCTTCCCCCTTCCCTGCCTTCATTCCTTCCCTCTGTCCCATTTAATATTGTATTTATATCTTACACAGAAAGAGGAAGGAAGAAGGAAGGAAGGAGGGAAAGGAAGGAAGGAAAAAGGGAGGGAGGGAAGGAGGGAAGGAAGGAAAAAAAGAAGGAGACAGGAAGAAGGAGGAAGGAAGGAAGGAAGGAGAAGAAGGAAGAAAGGAAGGAGGGTGTGAAGAAAGGAAGGAGGGAAGGAAATGAAGGGGAAGGAAATAAAGAAAGGGAAAGAAGGAGGAAAGGAAGGGAGGGAAGAAGGAAAAGAAGAAAAGGAAGAAGGAAGGAGGGAAAGAAGGAAGGAGAGGGAGGAAAGAAGGGAAGGGAGTGAGGGAGAGAAGGAAGGTCCTTCACTCAAGCACCATCGACCTCCCTCAACTCCTCCTCCTCCTCCTCCTCCCCTTCTTCCTTGCCTAGGGGCTCCGCTGCTGCCGGTGCCACTCATCCGGCCCTTCCTCTTCCAATAGGGAAAGGAGAAGGAGACTGCCCTCCTGACATAGCAGGGAAGGAGAAGGGGCGCTATGCGGCAAGCCTCCACCTCCACTCCCATGGTGCCCACTCTCTCTTATGTGTGTGTGGCCGTGCACGCATGCCTGGCTCCTCATGCTTTAATGGCTGGCTGTTTCCCCGCGAGGAGGAGGGTGTGTGGCCATGGGTCTCTTTCTGGGTATGCAGTTTCTCCTTTGTGGACATGCAGTTTAGAAATCCTTTCTGCTTTTTATTTCTTTTTTTTTTTTTTTGAGTGAAGGACATACATTGGGTTGATAGGTGTATCGTGTTCAAATTTGGTGTCAATTCCCCCAGTGGTTTTTGAGTTCTGTTAATCCCACAAACGAACATTACATTTTTATTTATATAGATTGTCAGTTTAGATGTCATTGTTTTAAATCTGGGAAGCTGCTTTGGATTCCATGTCAGTAGAAAAGTAGGTATAAAGTAAATTTTAAAAATAACCTGAAATCAATGCCTGGGAATTCCTCATTGGGAAACATCCTGAAAGTCCAAAGATGCTACTGCTGAAGACTGTAGCAGCGCTGCTGCTGATAACCACGCAAAGGATGATGAGGATAAAAAACCACGGAGTCCAAGCAGAGGTGTCCACTTTGACCAATGCTGTGATCACCATCAAAACCACTAACATGGTGACCAAGGAGGACAGAATGCGTACGCTGACAGAGACCCTGAAAGGAGGAGAAAAATCAATTATTCACATGTGTGTTTAGAACAAGAGACAATATCGGAGGGCAGCCTTGTAAAGAAAATGAAACAGAAAGAAAGAAGTGAAATCCTAAGCAATGGGACAGCAGGGAAATAAAAGCAATAT